CAACTAAGACTAACCTGAGCACAACCAAGCCCCCACCTGAACAGAACACGCCTCCAACCAATCAGAACACGGCCAACCCCCCAACCAATCAGAACACAGCCAAACCCCCTACCAATGAGAACACACCCCCACCCAATCAGAACACAGCCAAGCCCCCACCCAATCAAGTCCCACCCCCACTAGCAGTTAAAAGGAAGAAGCAGCTGCAATCTCACATCACTCTGAGAAGCACAGAGCCGGAGACAGAAGCCTGAAGATGATGAATGAGACTTCATCGAAACGTTGCCTAGATACTTCGAATCTTACGCGAGAGAAAACCCGAACAACCAAAGATCCATATATATATATATATATAATATCTATCTATCTATCTATCTATCTATCTATCTATCTATCTATCTATCTATCTATCTATCTATATATGCAGAGACTTAATATAAAAGAACAAGTTGAATAAAGTTTAAATTCTGTTTCACTGTCTTTAAAAAACAGACATTTTCATTTTAAACAATAGGACAAGGAAGATAGGTTGTTAGACATATTTTGGGAGAAGTAATACTAATGTGGACCTCATATATTTGTAATGGGCCAGGAAAGACAATCACCAGATTTCAGTAACACAACCTTTTGCACCAAAAACACTGCTGACCCATCAGAGAAAAACAGCTATCTAGATGGATTAAAAATAAATCTGAAACATACACAATTCACCTATTGAATTGCATAGGATTCAGGTTAATTCCTAAGACAGTAATCATTATCCTTGGAGAAAACTATACAGAATCCCCAGTGAAACATAAATTGTTGCAGTTAAACAGGTGACTATTTAGCAGTACTGATCCTAATATGGCTGCCTGACTGTTTTAAACCCTGTCCACTCTAGTTTATAAGAACCACAGCATACACAAAAGCATCCATCTTTAACTGGACTTGTGATCTGCCCACTAGGGCAGGGGTCCCCAAACCCCATTCCAAACTGGGCTGTGCAAACGATGGGCAAGCACGTGTGCACAAAGTTCCACTCACGTGAGCAGCAGAAAGTGTGCAAAGTTCCACTTGCGCAAATGGTGGGCCTTGAGCTCATGCATGAAGCTCCATTTGCACGAAGAGAGCTTTGTACACGAGCACTCTCTCACGCGAGTAGAACTTCGTGCAGGAATGCAAATGCCTGCCTGTCATGCTAGTGCAGCTTCATGCACAAGCACCCTCCTCTCATGCACCAAGCTTCATTCATGTGAGGAAGGTGTCTGTGCCCACTGCTTGCACCAATGGAGCTGTGCGTATGCACATGAGCCTGCCACCCACATGGCCACACTGGGCCACCATGCTGGAAAGGTTGGGGACCACTGCATTAGGGTATTGGGGCTGTTGCAAAGCAAAAGACAGCAATGGAAATTTGAACTGGGAATATTTAAGTCTGTCTTATCTACAAACTTGTAGAGATGAAGAAAAATAGCAAGAATAATGTGTTGTTTGCGCTCAGTTTTCAAGTATTTGCTCAATAGCTACTACTATCACCATCTTTAGCTTTTGAACAAATAAAACTATAATCTAGATGTAATAAAAGTGTAAATGAAAAGGACTAATAGAAACCTCAACGGATGTATTTTAAAGAATGGACATACAGTCTTTGTTGGGGAAGTAAAAAAAATTAAAGACCAACTGACTGACATGATGCTTGAGAAATTATGAATATATTAGGTATTGGGTGTTTCAAAGAGAAATACTGTGAGAAATTAGCAAAGTAGTATTATTTGTGATATAAACACTGAATTCAAAAAATGTAATTTTGTTTTTGAAAAGCAATTTCATACAATAAAGACACAATATAGCACTTAGCAGTTAGACTTGTATACTGCTTCACAGTGCTTTACAGCTCTCTCTAAGCAGTTTACCGAGTCAGCATCTTGCCCCCAACATTTTATGGACCTCGGAAGGATGGAAGGCTGAATCAACCTTGAGCCGGTGAGAATCGAACTACCGAACTGCTGGAAGTAGGGAGTCAGCAGAAATAACCTGCAGTACAGGATTCTACTCACTGCGCCAACATGGCTCTTCTTCCACAGATTTATTACATTTTGTAACAATAATTATTTTTTAAATTTAGGTTAAAAATTTTGAAATATTGTTTAACATGTAATGGATATGTTATGAACAAATGGTGTTCCCCTTTTGTTGTTTTGTTATTGTTAAGTTAGCTTAAATGCTTATTTTTCCCATTTTTGCACATTTGTTCTTGTTAAAATTTGTTAAATTATTAAACAAACTTTAATGGAAAATAAACATAAATGGAGTAAATTTTAAATCTGGAGGAGAGAATCCCTTGATATGCAGCCAAAAACAGACTCTTTCTCATAATCTTTAGGTCAGATTCAAGCAGAAATTGAATCTGTTTATGGTACATGCCAACAAAATGAAATCTTTTTAAAAATTTTAAAAAAATATCACATATTAAAAATGTCCACTTAATCTAGTGGATTCATCATTCATGGATATCTCTGACCCACATTTCAAGTGTGGACTGAACTTCAGTGTGTTGGCTCTCACTTGTTACTGATACCAAGCATCTGTTCAAAGTCTCTGCTGCCTTACCAGTGTCCAATAAACGGGAGATATAAATATTTGGATGATACCAATGAACTCAAAAACCTTGAATGACCTCTTCCAGAATTAAACAACAAAGAAAACGGAATAAAAACATTAGTATCTAACAGGATAATTTCCTAATAAGGAATAGAATCTATTGGAAATGCCTAGAGGAAGTAGAATCACTGTCAAACAGAAGTACTTATTCCTAGTCTGACAGGTGATACAAAGGTTATCACAGGGCAAAACTGAAGCCCACCCAAAATAAAAATAAAAAATGGAAAAACAAGCAGGAACTATTCTTCTATATATTTCCTGCAAAGCCTATCAAACAGTGTGATCTAGAGCCTTTCCTGTCTTATATTGAAATGTATCAAGTAGACATTTTGCCATATATAGTCAGTTTTTTACCATGCTTAAATTTCAATCTATAAAAGCATTTCTTTGAGAGGGGGAGATAAAGGCAGATGCTAAACCCAAAAGTAGTTTATGATTTATATTATAAAATGAATTTTAAAAACTTACACCAGAGTTCATAATAGTAATTGCAGCATTGAGACTGTCCACAGCAATGGCCTGTTTCACAACTGTAACTCTGATTGTTGATTCCTATGCAGGTTTCTTTGTCCTACAATGCAAGAAAGAAATATGTTACTAACATAGCAATCTGACAAGTGGGGAGGCTCATGTGAGTCTCAATCCCACAAACTAAGGTTTGTGAGTCATATATTAACCCAAGGCTTAAATACCTGTCAATATTCTGGATATAGATTATGGACCACTTCTATAGGTTATGGGTAGCTTGTAGCTATCTGAGAAAAACACAGAGTTAATTAACCCTTGGAAATGGAATGAAAACCTTCATTGGCTTAGGCTTCCTTGATATCAAATTGAATAAAAATGCTGTGTTTTAACAGAAATATTTTTAGTTGCATTAAAATTAAGTATTTTCTATAAATATCAGTCTGGTCCCATTGCTCATTTTCTTCCTCTCTCATTTGTGGATGTATATGTATAGCAGAAAAGGATGGAAATGAACTACCAGAATTATACCCCTGTAAAGTACAGAAAGTGAACAAAAGTTCTGAATGTTCCTTTAATAAAACACTGACAACTTCTGCAAGGAAAAAAAAAAATCAGTTTTCCTCTGTACAGGTAGTCCTCGACTTACAACAGTTCATTTAGTGACTGTTCAAAGTTACAATGGCACAGAAAAAAGTGACTTATGACCATTTTTCACTTAGGATCACTGCAGCATCCCCATGGTCATATGATCAAAATTCAGATGCTTGGTAACTGATTCATATTTATGATGGTTATAGTATCCCCTTTTGCGACGTTCTAACAAGTGGACAATGGGGAAGCCAAATTCACTTAACAACCATATTACTAATTTGACAATTGCAGTGATTCACTTAACAAATGTGGCAAGAAATCTCATTAAATGGGGCAAAACTCACTTAAGCAATATAAATTCAGGGCTCAATTGTTGGTTGTAAGTTGAGGACTACCTGTATTTATTTGTGATATTTAGGTATGTTGGCAGGGCAACAATTAGGAATACCTTGCCAACATGGTCAATACTGACTAGGGATAGTTCTCTAATTCTTTCATTTCCTAAATCTGTTTCAAGCTACTTTTAGCAAGGTTTATCCTAGGCATATTTTCAGTGTGTTTAATCTTTTTTAACAAGCTGGCAAAAGTAACTGTAATGTATATGACATAAGAATTTCATCCCTGACCATGCAGGAAAGGGTGTAGCAGCTTTAGCCTAAAGTTGGATCAAACCGGGCCATAAGAATATGCATATAAATATTCAGATGTCTTTTCAAGGGAAAATATGTTTTAAATTAATGCATCGGAGAGAGCACAAAAATGTTTAAACACAATAGTTTTTTTTAACTTGATAGCCTTAATTTAAGTCAAACATTTACTGCCACAGAATCGTATTATGAAATAGTTCCTATCTACTTAGCAATACATTGCTATAGTACCAGAAGGCTAAGTTAAATAAATAATAAAGGCAAGGTAGTGATTTGGTGTTATATTTATAGCATCATTAAAGCATGCTGTGCCTTAGATCATAAGCAAAAAGGTTCAATCTTTACAATAAAGAATGATAATGAGGAGATAGCAAAGACAGGAAGTGAAGACAGTAAGCAATGAGGCACGTAACAGAGTTTATACACAATGGGAACTAAAGGAGTTTAAATTTAACACATCTGGAAGGCATGAGAGGTAGCCTATTAAGGAGAGATATATAATTATGATTTTAACCAAGAACTGCTTGGCTTGTTGGTTAACCAATGTAAGATACCAGACAGCATGCTTTAATTTAGCTGATAATAGAAAAATAACATTTGTGGCTATTTTTCAGAATATTGAATATGAAAGACTAAATCAATTAGAAATCATGATTAGGAAAGATTTTAAAACGTAAAGGAATCTGTTTTGGAAAGCATCACAGTTATAAATCAAAAGAAAGGAATCTTTTCTTCTGTTGAAAAAGAAATAAACAAAGACTAGAAAAACATGGGAGGGTTAAAAAAATGCCATTCTCTTCAAAATTCAGAGAATGAGGCAGAGTAAAAGTCTCACCTGGAACAATCCAGGAAATCTTTTTTGATTTTTTTTTTGTAAATACCTTGAAATTTTATAGAAACAAACATGCTAAACATTATTTCACTGTTTTTTTATATCATTAAACTAATTTTAGATCATGTAAACAAAGCAATTCTGTTATTCCTAAAGAGACTCATTATATAGTTAAATCAACACACAGGAATCTTAGCATTAAAGAGTTCCACCAACTCTTATTACCCCAAGAAGTAGTTAGCAGTTGTCACAAAAAGACATCTAGGCATCATTTTCAAAGTGCCAACATCAAAGTACCAGTTTCTAAAGGGGAGAGGGGATTCTTACCCATTACATGGAATATTCTCCCTGGAATTTGTAACAAGCAAAAAAGTTCACATAAACCTTCACTGTGTCTGAATACACACTGATATTATTTCTCCTTCACAAATCACAACACTGTGCTAAATGAGATAACCTGGTTGCCAAAAGCTTCTCTCAATTTCTCTTCCAGTTACATCTTCCAGAGAAATCTCCTCTTCTATCCCAAGATAAGTCTTAAGTAGGGCTAAGAAGACCCTTTCAGTTTTGCCTTGACAAAAATTTCTTGACCACTCCCCTCTTGAAATTAGGATTCCAAACAAGCAATTATTGGTTCGTGGGCTATTTTCTTCAATAGTGTGCATGCCATCAGAGAAGTTCTACTGATAAAAAAGTTGATGATTCTTTGATATGGTACAGTATGTACAGTGATGTTAATTTTTTCAGCTCAGCATTCAAACATTTAGAAAATGACTTTGACTTTGCTGGTGTGCCATCCCAACCTGAACAAAATAACAATTCCCTATATCCCCTACCACCATCTAGGTGTGCCATCTGAACAGCAACATTTGGTACAGCACCAAGACTGGGCCCGAAGGAGAGTCTTGGGCCTTGATATCAACTCTAGAGCCACTGCTGCTCCTGAAAATGGCTGCCTTGCAGCTCTACATGGGGCTGCCCTTGAAGAACATCCGGAAGCCCCAGCTGATGCAAAATGCAGCAGCCCACGTGGTTTTGTGCAGACCCTAATCGTGCAAAAACAGAGCATGCTTTCACATGATTTCTTCAGAGATTGTGAAAGACCATTCTCCTAAGCCAGTTCAAGAACAAAGACATGTGCAACTCATAGCACATGGGTATAGGCCACAGGGGCCTGTCAACAGAAAGAGAACACTGCCTGAAGGCAGTGGTGCAATTCAACCAGTGTAACAACTGGTTCGTGCACGTACATGCACTCTGCATTTTTAAAAACCTGTAATACTTACTTTCAACTGCAGTCTCTGAATAAAACAGCTGAGGCGCGGCAATCAGCTGTGCTCTAAACAAAGAAAATAAAGCACAGGAAAGAGCAGGGGCAGGCAGACATGCTCGTTGCAGTGAACTGGTTCAGCTGATCATTGGAACAAGGGGTTCATCCGTACTGGGAGAATCCCACCCCTGTCTGGAGATAAAAGGAGTGCAGCAAATACTGGGGAATGCTGGGATTCAGTGGCATTTGCACCATTCTCCAGGGCTTCTGTATCTTGGAAAATCAATAATAATAATAATAAAAATAAAATTTATATTTCCACCTATTGGCCCATGGCGACTCGAGGTGGCTTAAAGAATATAAAACCGTATTTAAAATAAAATTAAAAAAACAAAAAAAATCAAATTAATAAAGTACAATAGAACAAAATCTGAAAGAATAAATAAATCACCCCCAACTTCCACTCCCCACCCTGATGACAGTAGAACACATGAGCCACTGGATGGGCTCCGTCCCGCTCTTGGTTCCCCAGGCCCGCTGGCAGAACCAGGTCTTCTATCTCCCTCAGGGATGGGACCCGCAACATCCCCTGCCTCCCCGCTTTAATGGGTCAAGTAGATGTGACCAGCAAGAGACGTTCCCTCAGATAACCCGGACCCAAGCCATGAAGGGCTTTAAAGATGACAACCGGCACCTTGAATTGCACCCGGAAGCAAATCAGCAACCAATGCAGCTCCTGCAGAAGTGAAAGATGTGCACATGCGGCGCCCACAGCTTTTAAATATCACAAGAGAATGGGTGTGCTTTCAATAATAGTTATTAGGTGTTGGTATGTCTCTTTTGTCTCATGTGTCATAAGTTCATTAGTATATACTATGTAGATATTAGCCATCTGACATGACTGTAAAATGGCCTTCTGCCTTGCTCCTGTATGAAAGATTCTGGAGTCAAGGCTAATTCATTCACTATAGCAACCCTCTCTTAATTTATATTGAAGTAGTGCATCTAAGAATGTGGTACATGAAATTCCAACTGCAAATACATTCATTTGAAATGATTCAGGAAGATAGGTATCTTGGGCAGTGAACAAGGCAGCCACATTTTGTACTGTCCAGACCAACCTTGAATATCTGCCAACAGTATAATGACAAAGCAATTTTCAAAACTAGCTGGTACTAATGGTGAGAAGATAGAGGTGAAGAGCTTTCAAATAGTAGTAACATGTTACAGTGCTCAACATTTTCCAAACTAGTACTCCCCAAAACTTCAAGGGCTATTACATACTTAAAGTATAACAAAGCACAGCATGAGTCACAGCCTATCATAATATTTTAGTTAGAAAATAAGGAAGTATATACTTTTGTTTGCAATTTACTTTATTAAATTCAATAGATATAAATTTAAAAGTTCTCATATAAAAAGTTAAAAATGTAACAAAAATATTTCTTTTGAAAGATGTTTTCTAGATATGGATGATATTTCTGAAGGCTATTTTTTCCACTTAGGATGCTCTTTCATGAAACCATAGCAACATATTTGAAGCATACATATTTAAACATGTTAAGGGTCCCTTTGAGCTGTTTTTTCTATTACAAATGTTCAATGTGTTCAAAATGCTACTTGAAAATTTAAAACAACTGTGATTTATCATACTGTATTTCAAATACTGGTAGGATTCTATTAAATTTATCATACAAATCATTAAGATCAAATTCTTTTACTTTCAGAAAGATGGGCTATTGCAGTGGTGGCTAACCTTTTTGGGCTCCTGTGCCAAAAATTGTGCACATACTTGCATGCTCGTGCCAGCACCCAGAATGCAATGCGTGCTCCCCATGCCCCCTAAGCATGCGCGTGCAATCCCCGCCCACCCCCGCCACTCCCTTACCTGCACTGCGCTTCACAACTGATTTTCGGTTGGTGTGAGGCCTTTTTTTGGCCTCCCAAAGGCTTGAGGAAGGCTTCTGCCATCTTTGTAGGCCGAAAACTAGCCCCATTTCGTCATTTCCTGTATTTTCAGAAAAACAGGAAGTGACGAAATGGGGCTAATTTTTGGCCTACAAAGCTTGCCTGCAGAAGCCTTTCTCAAGCCTTTGGGAGGCTGAAAAAGGCCTCAAACCGGCCAAAAATCACTGTGTGGCATGCACATGCGCAGTGAGGTAAGTTTGCCTGCAGCTTGCGTGCTGGCACAAATGGCCCTGTGTGCCACCTGTGGCACACGTGCCATAGGTTTGCCATCAAGGGGTTATTGGCTTAAAAACCACAATTTAATTCCTCTAAAACCTTACTTACACTGGCTAGCTAAAAAGTGCATTCTAGACTCTATAATTACGTACTTAATTTATCTGATTTAATCCACTTGCCATTTATAATCAAAGTGAATGTGGAAACCTCTAGTAACAAGTATAACGAGTATTATGAGCTGAATCTGGACAAGGATTACCCAGAAAATTGTGAAGCAATTTCCATTTCCCCTCTTCCAAAGCTAGGAGGAAACCTAAGGGCTGCCTGGCAGACGTACACATTTTCTTATTATAGTATTTCCACCCACTCACCCACCCCCCAAATAAGCAGGAAGAAATGCTCTCTTGTACCAGCTGGTCTTTTCATCACTAAAATTAAGAATTATTCAGAGGAATCACACTTGGCATCTATTTTCTAAAAGTATGTGGAAGTTTTCAGATGGCAAGAGTCCAACAAAGTGCTCTCTCCACTTCCCCAAAACCCTCCAGCTGTTTTTCCCATAGAAAACAGTAGACAGTGGCCAGCATTTTTGGACAACCAGTATTATGGATATACCTGTTGAAATTTCTCCCCAAACTCTTGCAGAGAAATATTCAAGCCATAACTTTACAGAAATGTAAACCAAAACAAAATTCTTCTACAGTCAATTTTACTGGACAATTTCTTTTAATGACAATCTCAGATTCATGTCTGATTATGATATATCCTTTTCTCAATTTTTGATTACAATTCAGGCTTTTATAACTTGTCTACATTCTAATTTGTTAAAGAGATGAGGAACTCTTAATAAGTTATATTAAGAGTTCCTCATCTCTAACAAATTTAGCCCTACAGTGCTCAAAAAGAAAGAAGCTGCTCCCCAACCTAATTACAGATTTCATACGCTATCGTTTATAGATGTTGATTGATAAGTGAGATATATTCTGTAGAAATCCTTGTACAATAAGAACAGTTTGAACTTGTACCATGTTATACTGTTAAAAGGCTATAACATTAGTTTTAAGAGTGCAGTTAAATAATAAGGGAAAAAACTCTTTCACATTCAATTGTACTTTCCTTTTTAAAACAGGCCCTTTTCTGTAACCCGCTGGGCTTCTGAGAAAAGTATTCAAGTTCTACCGAAAATGGCACATTTTTAGCCGGAAATATTTTTACTCTTCCCTCCCCCCCTCAAATTTTAATCACTAGTTAGCTCTGGCTTGGCTGGTTTAAGATACCAAATGACATAAACAAAATCCCATTACTTAAATCACTGCATTACTCCCTTGCCTCTTGCTCCCTCTGGGATATTAGCAGTGGGATGGGATGGGGAGAACCTTTTAAAAACTGATAAAAAAGCTTTACTGTTATATATTAAATATTAACTAATGAAATATTACTAAAATGTAACCTTTCTTATTGGCCTACTCAGTTTCTCCATTTTAGAAAAGGAGAACATATCACATATTTCACTAAAACATTTAGCACGTTTATATATTTTAACTACTTAATTGCTGATTTCAATTCTGCTATAAAGCACAAAACCAGTTGAAATTGTAAAAAAAAAAGAAAAGAAAAACCCTAGCATCACTTGCATTCAATTATATGAATAGTTTTTTTTGTGTTAATAAATTAAATTAGTATTACATTTTAAAATAAATCTGAAGATACCTTGAAAAGAAATTGGAAATGAAAATGTATTAAATCTGGTCACTTTCTTGTTAATCCTTTTGCCTGCAGCTCTAGGTGCTTTGTTGAAATTTAGTTATTCCCCAAATACCACATAGACATTTGAGGAAGTCTAATTCTCCATTCTAAAGAAAGGATTACATATTTTGTGTTACTCTGAAACATAATGTTCATTCTATCTTTTAAATACCATCTGTTGGGACATACAGCAAATTCTGACGGTTTTCAGATAAAAAGATCTGAGATTTATTGAACAAAAAGCAGGTGCAAACATTAGCCCTTCTAGCAAGATTAATCACAGAGTCACCAAAAATAGGCAAGTAAACTTGTTTCAGATATTGAATCTCTTTTATCAGTGATAGACTGAACAGAACACATAAATATAATCAGAAGCTATCCACATTTCCTTTTAGGAGGTGCATCTGATATGAAAGTATTCAGAGGTCACAGAGTTTATCTCCCATAGACACAATTTCAATGTCAAGTGGTTTATAAGAATTCTAACAAAACATATATTTTCTAGAGAATTAATTTGCTGATACAATACATAATATAATATAAAATGGTCTGTTATTACCATATTAAAATTTCCATAATCTTATCTTTATTTAAAATAGTATAAATAATTTAAAAACAATGTGAACTCCGTGCTTCAGCTAATCATTGCAATTCTTACTGCAATTATTCTTACTGTTTTAAAAACTAGGCATTTATAAATTAAATCTATTTCATTTTTATCAAATAATTTGCTGGTACTAAATATTTTAGATAACAAAATATTTAAAGTTCACTACATCAACATCATTTAATCTTTTTTTTACAAAATAAATACATGTTAGATGATATTTTAATTAAAGGACAGGCTGATTCCTAAACGGTCATTTACTAAATTTACTCTACTAAATTCTGGATCTAGAAGAGCAAGCTGAAAGCATTCGATCCCAGTTAGGAACCAATTAATTTGGTACTTTAAAAAGAAAAACTTCACAAATATTTTAAAAATACATATTAACTCTGATGGTAAGTTTATTTACTGCAAAACTGTTACAGCAAAAAAAAAAATCTTATAAGCAGCTCAAATTTATAAGAGATTTAGAAATATTTGAAAGGGAGAACACATTTTTTTTTTATGCTGACTCTGATTCCTTAAAAAAGTTTGTTCAGTCTTCAGGATTTTTCAGTGTTGTGATACAAATATCTTTTTCCTCTCAAATAGACCAGTGGAAATATGATCAAAGTGAATTTGGAGAATCAGTAACTCACTTGACAAGGAAGCTTGGTATCTTTAAAAACCAGCAAAACTTCTTATTCTCCACCCTAACCAGTATAAAACCAAGAATCCAAAAACAAGTTACCTGTCGCAGGCCCAAAAGGAAAGGCATTTTGCAAGCTCATAATCCAAGCTAAGAATGTAAACAAAGGAATTTCAAAAACTGCATACTCATTTCTTCATCTGATATGGAAAGACTACATGCACAATCTTTTTTAAAGTAGGATTTCCATAGCTGGGAATGTCAAATAAACAGGGTCCCAGGATACAGCATGCTCTCACTCGCTCTTTCCTCTCCCAGAGACCAATTTCAGAAACAGCAGAGCTATCGTGTGTTTGCCAAGGGGGAAGTGACATCACTAGTAGCACTGCCCAGGAAAAAAAATAACTCTTTAGACAGCTGCTGATTAACAATTCAAAGAGGCCTACTGCCTAGAAAAAATACACAGCACTTAGGAAATGAGAAACATTTAAAACCAAATGCTTGGATTAAGTATTAATGACTACTCAAAATTACGTTTATATCTCATTATTTTTAAAGGAAAATAGTATTTAAACAACCTGGACCTTGTTTTCAGGGCCAATACATCATGAAAATACATATCTATTCTCTAGAACACCTAGAAACAGTTAGACCAAAACCAGAAACATTAAAAACAACAATGCTTTCTCCTGTGACATCTAGGGTCTGAGGCAGAAAAGTAGAAAGTCAATTTTGAGGTCTCACTGGCAGTCTTGATGTGGCCACATTCAACTTAACTAATAAAGAAGTATGTCTTAAATCATATCCAACCTGGAGTGGACAGTCTGAAGTTCTCAGTCCAATTTCAGCTACCTGCAAACTAAAATCTATTTTGGCAAAAAAAAAAAAAAGCTATAAAAAATTGCCCCTGAAGCTAAATGACTGAGTGAGAAGAAGTGAAGTAGTTTTAGAAAAAGAAAAAAAATGCTAATAAGGCTCTGTTAATTTTTTTTTTTTTTGCAGAATTTTAGGAATCTACTTGAGCACTAAACCTACCTCTTGGCATATATGTATTATATTATCTATATATTAGCCTGACTTACAATGCCAAGAGAAATTCACAAGAATGTCATAGAATTCTAAACAAAACAAGGCTATACATAAAATTTGTACTGGCAATTTTCTATCTAGTAATCATTTTCATTTATTTAATTTTCAATAGAAGACCTATTCCCACCAAAATCAACGCAAAAGTAATAAATATAGATGTTTTATTTTATTTTTTAAAACAAGCTTTTTAAACGTATTGAAATATGTTTGGAATACTGTGTAGTAATAACTCTTTCAAAAAATTACAGAAAAAGGAGAGGAGCATGTGATGTACATACTAGAACTACAGAATACTGAAAAAACAGGTAGTGCTTTTAAAATGACATAAAATACATTTCTTTCACCTCCAGCCAATCCTCCACACTCCGTGTGGTAAAATGACCTATGGAAACATCAATAATCTCACAGGTTTTTGCGCTAGTGAGCTTACTTGCTGTGTACAAACAAACTGCGGAGGGGAAAGGAAAAATGTATGAAAGAAAAGATTAACCTAACCCTCTCTTATTCTTGGCTGAGGAAATGGGTTTGCATTGACATGAGTATTCCCTTTTTAAAAAAATTGAAAGCAGACTAGAATAAAAACTGAGAGAGACCCAGATGCTTGGAGTTTAGTATAAGAGTGAGCATGATAAGATAACTGTGAACTAGATTCAATGCTCAATGCTCAAGTTATAAGTTCAGATACAGCAAGCCCTGTTTTTTTACAATACACTGCTGAATAAATATAAACAACCAAGCACTATTTTCACCAGGAGTGATATAAATTACTAAAAAGAAAATTCTAAATCTGTTTCCAGTTCTTCTCTATTTTATACCAATAAAACAGTGTTTGCCTTAGCAACAGAATACATCAAATTCCAAAGCAGTATAGATATGAAAGAAAGTGATTTAAATTTAACTCTGCTGAGCCTTTAAGCAGAGGTGTAGCAATGTTTTTGTGTTTCTCTTAAACCAGCAGCTGTTCTTGTCTGTCATATACTAGAAGCCTCACAACTCTCAAATATGAAAACACAGAATACATTATTATCAGAGGGTGGAAAATTCCCTCTTACATTGTTTTTCAATTTTACCTTGTAATGTAAGTAGTTTAGTTTGTTTGAAATTGATAAAACAAATAAGTACAAACTTAGTTGAAGACAATTTAGCATATTGATCTAATGGACATACAAGGGTATCCTCAACATTCCTTTGAGGAAGAAGGCATGACGATCCCCCAGTAACTATTTTAAAGAGCACGCTCCCGTAACATGGTCTTATCCCCAGATCAAATTTGAGGCAGTTTAATTTTGTATTTAGCTGCTCTGGTTTTAAAGTAATGTATTCTTTTTTATATAAATTTTATTACAAAATTTAAAAGAACATTAAAAGTTAACATAAGCTAATATAGCATAAGGGAAACAAATAAAAAGAGGAAAAGACAAAAGTGCCCAAAGATTTTAAAAAGCTCTAATTTCTTTTGCAGTAAATATAATTTAACTCTCACGTTATAACAAAAAAGTTTATTTTTTCCTATTATACAATTTTTTAATCATCAAAACCGCAAGTCATGTGCATTTTTTCTGTTTCACGCAAAAGAACCTAGAAAGGGTTTCTAGTCAACCACAAATGAAGACATTGTCTTTTCTCTAATCAAGGAGGTTAATTTTGCCATCTCTTTTAAGTTCACATCATCTTCACCAACCCTTCCAGTATTGTGGGAAGTTAAGAATGTTTCATCTTTTGTGCATATAGTAATTTTGCTGCAGTTGTCATATATAAACCCAAGTCCCATGCTTCATTCACTAATTTTAAAAGAAAAGTCTCTGATTTCAATTGTACATTGATCTTTAAAAATCTTCTGATTTTATGTATTTATTTGTATCCAAACTTTTTTGGCTTTTTAGACTTGATAAAATGTCTTTTCAATAAGTTCACATTTTCAGATTTGAAATACTTTTATATATTCTAGACAGTTTCTCTGGTGACAAATACAAACATTATTTCATAAAAATTCTCTTCAAGGCTAGAACATAATGTAAATTTTAATATTTGCAATTGCATATTTTCCCAGTGATCTATTTCTTTATACTTTAGCCAAATTTTCAGCCCATTTTATCATACTTTCTTGCACTTTCCTCCTATCTCATATTTCACCATTTTAGCAATAATATGTTCATCCTTTGTATATGATTTTACTTCAAACTCAGTTATGTGTTGTTCAAAACCATAAAATCATCTATACATTTTAAACTTTTTGATAACTGTACATAAGAAAACCATTGACAAGTATGTCTTTGTTACTAAATGTTCTTTTTTTATATAATTCCCTTGAGAAAAGTCTAAAACATCACAGTAAGTTAACCATTAATGCTTATTATTTCTGACAATTGATCTCTATTCATCAAATAAAATAAATAAAACAGATTTGAACTTGAGAATATGGATACATTATTCAAGATTTCTGAAAATATAGGACAGTCATGATGGGTAATTGTTGGGTGAATATTTTGATTAAAGGAAAACATAAAACAATTTTTATGTTCTAACAGAAATGTAATAAAATCATTTAAAAAGGAAATAAATTTATTGCACTAGCCATTAAAATATATTATTCGGGGTTTACCTTTGCTTCTTATGATTATTTTTTTGTTTTTAACATTCTGATTCAACTTTTTCTTGTTTTTTTATGTGATATTCCACTCAGAATCCTTTTAGACTTATAGAAATAAATGAACAAATATTTCTTACCACTTGCAGAAAATATTGGAGTTCAGTTGTTGACATCCTTTTTAAATGAAGTTTTATATTTTTGACAGTCATTAATCACAATTATCAGGAATATACCACTGTTGTTTGAAGATACAGTTACGTGATTCATTGCAGAGACTTGAAAGATCATGAGACAGCAGGAATGTTGCTATTTCCCAATACAGAAAATTACAATATGCTTTCCTAAAATATTAAGGATTTTAAATTCACTCATTCCATCTTACAGATAATCCTTGAGTTATGATTGGTTGCTTAGTGACTGTTTAAAGTTCTGATGGGCCTAACGCAGAGAACTTATGACCCGGATTTCACATTCCGATGGTTGGTTCCCTTTGCAGTCATGATTGTGATTTGGGCTCTGTTTGCACTTATGACAAGTTTCCAAGCCCTCCAGGATCATATGATTACTACTTCAATCTTCCCTACCAATTTCCTCAGAAAATCAGCAGGGAAGCTGGCAGGGACGTTTGCAAGCCACTGTCGCAGGAGTCCCTCTGGTTCCTGGTGCGTCTGTCTGTCTGTTGGGACCTATTTTGGGATGGATCTTTTTCAGCCAGTCTCTCTGAGCAGAAGGCTGCCTGCCACTATCCCTCTGCAAATTGGCCCTTCCCGGCTGATTCCAAACACCCCATTCTCCAAGTGCCTAGAGCTAAAATCTCACTTAGCTTTTGCCATGGACCTCTCCAGCCAGCATCTTTGAGAGCAACTGGGCTGCCTATCATATGGATTTCACCCTGTGCAGGGCAGAGTCCCTCTGCAAAGCAATCCTTTTACACTTTTTCCAACACTGGCTGGAAAAAGTATTTCTTCCCTTTCAGAAAGATTATATATGCTCGCCAGCAAATATAATCTTTCAGAAAGGGGAATAAGGTTTTTTCCCTGCCCTTCTCACTCTCAGAAAGATCCCATTTGCTGTCTTTCTGGGAAATAAAATATTTGGGGGGAAGCAAAAATAAGACACCATATATGCATAAATTTTAACTAGCTATGGTTTCAATTTATTTTTGTCTTTCAGATTGTACTGAAGCCTTTTCTACATAACCTTTTCTATAGATTTGACAGATGTCTAATGCTCAATTTATGGGTGAAAATCACTAGTTACATTTGGATTTTTAAAAAATCACAAAATTCTAGGGCTGTAGGTTAATAGTCAGAATTAACAGCAGTGTCATCTGAAAGTAATATCAATTCATACTATCCATTAATGTTCCTAAGTGAATTTATCTATACCTACCTACTACTCTCTGAATTTATTTTTCCTTTCAGAACATCAATTCTGGCAGTGGGTTGCCACAAAGTAAGTTTTAAATTAAAATTTTCTAGGAATAGGAAGTTGTCATCTGATACATCTAAATGGGAACTATGTCCATGTTTATAATTTCATTAGGCTCCTCATAACAATTAGTAAGATGTCTACAAGGGAACACTGAACCTCAATCCATTTGCAACAGGGAGGAAATATTTGACAAAAGTAATCATGAAAATTGAAGG